GGAGCTCTGATGACAAACCTTCCTGGAACTGGTCTAATAGTGCTGCCTCATTCCATTGTACATCCTGAACAACCACCGAAAACTAGCAATATAATCCATGAGTGAGCCACACCCCTGCTTCAACTCTCTCAAACGTCTGTTTTCTGTTTGGCTTCAAACAGGGTCCTCAAACATGGCCTGAAACTGATGGCAAAACTCGGCGTAATTGTCCAACACCTGGTTGGGCTGGGTCAGCAGAGGTGTTGCCCAACGTGCTGCAGAGCCTGACAACAAACTAATCAAAAACCCCACCTTATCCCGGTCAGTGGGAAAGTCCTCAGGCCAAAGGCTCATGTAAAGCTGGCACTGCCCAAAAAATGCTGGAAATTGGGCCAGTGAACCATCAAATTTATCTGGCACTTCCACTGGGCATTTTTGGCGTGGCCAGGCAGCTTGCATTTGTGCCACCTGTGCAGTCAAAAGAGCCACTTGCTGGGTTAACTGGGCAATCTCTGCTCTGAGCTGATCCATGGTCACCCCACAAAAAACAAAAATAAGTTGAAGGGGTGGCTGAAGTCAAAATGTGATGACCTGTAGTCTCTCAAAATAACCCAAAACCCAAAACATATATTAAAGTCCAGTAAAGCCTTCAACTTAACTTCACTGTTTTATTAGGCACAATTTAAAGTCACAAAAGTAAATAATGAGGCAAACAGAACACCAAAACAAACTGCATTGGTGAGAGTTCTGAAGCAAGCTGAGATAACTAATTATAAACTCCAGGAAGATAACCAAGAAAAGTCCATGGGAAGAACGCCAGCAAAGATAAGCTTCTTTCAAGGTGAACACTAATTCATCAATTCTAACTGTGCAGTTGCAAACTTATATACATAGCTCCCACCTGCAAACCATGAGGAGGATTGTGGTAATCTTGTCTTGAGTAGACCTCGCTTTTCCCTGATCCTCTCCTCCCTGTGTGACCAAGGATGGATAGGGGATGGGCCTGGATGCTCCTCTGACTGCTCAGGTGGCCTCTGCCCTTCCCCAGCCTTCTCCACCACCTCTGGAGCCACACCCCCACTCCCTGTTGACTGTTCCTCCTCTTCCTCAGAGTCAGGCTCCACCTATACACTATGTGTGTGTGTGGTATTCAGCTGAACACACAGCAAACTCCAAGCAGAACACAGCAAACTCCAAGACCAATAAAAACAGACCAAGACTCCCAACCAGTCAGGATGAAGAAAAAACCATTCTGGCACAGCATAGGCTAGCACCAAATTTAAAACAGAAAAGGCTGGGAAAGTCTGACTCACAGATGGCATTCGGCTTTGTTCGGGTATTTTCCCACATCATTGTAATTGTTCTTTTAAAGTTGTAGCAATGTTTCAGCAGAATCTCATCTGCCATCATCAGGCTTCTGTATAGTGTTCATCTGTGAGTCAGACTTTTACAGTGGTTTCAGATTTAAATTTGGGGCAGCCTATTGCTGTGCCAGAATGGTTTTTTCTTCATCCTGATTGGTTGGGAGTCTTGGTCTGTGTTTATTGGTCTCGGAGTTTGCTGTGTTCTGCTTGATTGGTGTCTCTAATATCTTCTGTCTGTTTTTTGGCTCTTTTTGTATCTTGATTGGCTGTGTGATGACCTGTAGTCTCTCAAAATAACCCAAAACCCAAAACATATATTAAAGTCCAGTAAAGCCTTCAACTTAACTTCACTGTTTTATTAGGCACAATTTAAAGTCACAAAAGTAAATAATGAGGCAAACAGAACACCAAAACAAACCACATTGGCCTTTAGCGCAGCTTGGCTTCGGGTAAATGGAAGTTTTCGCGGGTTCTTACATGTATGTGCTGCTTGATTGGTGTTTCTAATATCTTCTGTCTGTTTTGTGGCTTTTTTTGGCTTGATTGGCTGGCAACATTGTGTTTGGAGGCTTTTAGTGTGGCTTGGCTCCGAGTAAACGGACGGCTATCATTTATTAGGAAGCTAGATTTCATCTGGGTGCCTGGTTCTTAGAATGGCTGCTAAGAAACCCCAAAGATAAAATTGACCTGGAGAACCAAGGCATATATGAAGTCCCCTGTGCATCATGCCACATACATTGGACAGACCAATAGAAGAATAAGTACCTGCCTAGATGAACACAAAAATGCAGTAAAAAAGCTGGAACACACTTCCTCACTAGTCCAACACATGAAAGCCACAGGTCATAGCATTGACTTCAATGGCACCAAAACCCTAGCCACTATAGAAAACCCCAGCTACAGAATTATCAGAGAAGCCATAGAGATTGAAAAAAGACCTGAAAGCATGAATAGAAGAGATGACTCCACCAGATTGTCAATTATCTGGAAGTCTGCACTCTCAAACAAAAAACTCTCCACACCACAAGCCAGGCAAATACCTGGGCACAAACAGATCCCCCCTGATACCTCCAGCTCAAACACATCCCAACCAGGCACCCAGATGAAACCTAGTTTCCTAATAAATGATAGCTGTCCATTTACTCGGAGCCAAGCTGCACTAAAAGCCTCCAATACAGGAAACACAATGTTGCCAGCCAATCAAGACACAAAAAGAGCCACAAAACAGACAGAAGATATTAGAAACACCAATCAAGCAGAACACAGCAAACTCCAAGACCAATAAACACAGACCAAGACTCTCAACCAATCAGGATGAAGGAAAAACCATTCTGGCACAGCATAGACTAGCCCCAAATTTAAAACTGAAACGGCTGTGAAAGTCTGACTCACAGATGAACACAATACAGAAGCCTGATGATGGCAGATGAGATTCTGCCGAAACGTTGCTACAACTTTAAAAGCACAACTATAATGATGTGGGAAAATACCCAAACAAAGCTGAATACTATATATACATACATACATACATACATACATACATACATACATATATATATCTGATTCCACATTACATTTTCTCAATCACCTTATACATTACAAAAGTATTAATCTAATCAATTAATTATAGCAACTGATATTAATCTTTCCATAATGGTTCTCGTTTCATCATTTTCCCCTTTTTTCCTTTTCTTATACATCGCTAATCATCAATTAATATATAATATTCCTATTATAAATTCCCAATTCCATATTTATTTCATTAAGTTCCATGTCTAATGTAGCTATAATCCTTTAATAGAAAAAAGAAAGAAAAAAGGAAACTAAAAAACCCCCGCCATTTCAGTTACATATTTATCTATTTTCAGTACTTATTCTTATATATCACAACATATTACCTTGTGAAATCTCCTTCCCTATCCTTTTTTTCACCCATTATCTCTCACTCTTTTAACAATGTAATTTCTTTTCATCCTTGTTTGCTTCCCGTTTCTCTTTATTTTCTGGTTCTTTCTCATAATTCTCTTTCCCCCCATTCTTATTCCCCTCCATTTCTCATTCCAATTAATATATTTATCTCCCTTTCTCTTTCGATCTTTCTTTTGTACTTCCCTTTTCTGCTTTTTCCCTCTCCTTTTTTTCATTTTCTAAACCATTCTCCCCTTTCCCTCCTGCTTGTTGCTCCCTGTGTTCTTCAAAGCTGGCTTCTTTTTTCTTAAACTCCTCCCCCTCTGGTTTACTTTATTCTTCTACAAGCTGAGTTGCCATTTCTAATTTCTGTAAAATGTAATTGCACATTTCAAGTTTAATTTTCATCATTTCCCTTATATCTTGCAAGTCCAATCTTATTTAAACAAATAAGTCCTCCATTATATCTTCTCCTTTTTCCTTTCCTTTTCTCTTCTTTAATAGATGTATTCCTCTTCCTTAATAGATGTATTCAATCCCAAAGTCCAGTATATTATTTCAGCCAGTGTCCTTTAAGTTTATTTTCAACAATCAATGTCCTTAAGTCTTTGTTCCAGGTCTTCTAATTAGCCCTTTCCCAACTGTTTCCCATAGTCACTGGGTAGTTCTATGACAATTTTTTCAAATATCTTCCCCTTTGAAATATTCTGATGTCCCTTTCCAGGATTTTTATTTTACTATAATGGAGTTTCTTGTACTTTCTTTTAAGTTCCAAAGTCCAATTTCTTAGAAAGACCAAGCACTTTTTAAAGAGTCACTGAAATTTTTCCTGTACCATCAGGTGGTGTTCTTGAGTCTTTTCTACAATCCACTCCTTCCTTAACTTTAACTTTCTTTATTAAATATAGTACTTTTATTAAGTTCACTAATTTCAATCATTAGCTATTATTTCTTTTCTTTTCAACATACTCAATTTCAGCATTTAGTTATGCCCTTTAAGTGCCAATAGTTGTCCAGTTTAATTTCTAAACCTTTGTTGTGTTCAAATATTTTCCTTTAAATTTTCTCCTCCCAGTTAATCCAATACAATAATTCAAGCCAATTTTATAAAATCCAATTTCCTTCTCACTTTCTCTGGTCGCTGCTTCCACACACTTTTCTCCAAAATAGTCATTTATTTTTTAAGACCAGGATACCTCAAAATACAGTGTTTTGCCTGGTTCACACTCCGCTTGCTGCTTCTCCGCTCCAGCACAGTCTTTGTCTCTGGGGTGTTCTTCATCTTCGTGGTGGCCATTTTAGGACCACGGCTGCAGCTTGCCTTTGGAAGGGATTTTTCCTCTCAGGGAGGGGAGTTGCAGCTCCCTCAACCCCCCGGGTGATTCCCCCCTTCTTCACCACCCTTCCAGGGTTGTTCTGGTTTCAAACGGGACCCTCCAGCAAGTGAGCTCAGGGTGAAACCGCACACAATCGTGGATTCCACTCTGAGTCCGATGATGAACAAACCAGAACTTCGGTAGTAAATTTTTTTGAATATCACCACTGTTCCCTTACCCTGTATGAACACCATGTGAGGTAAAATGTCTGAGTTGAAGAACAACATTCTATGAAGGAGAATCTTCCCCAAAGGTCCAAAGGTCCTTCACTCTTCACTTGTTAGCTGCTTCTGAAAGTATCCTTCTAGCTTTGTTATAGCTAGAAATGAAATAGTGTGAATAATAAAAATAAAAAGGAACAGCGAACACTTACGATCCAAGTACTTCCATGAAAATGAATGTTTTTCTGATGTTGGCAGTCGGTTTCTTCCAGGAAGTGCTGTCATCCTCTTGTCTGCAACCCATCTTCTCCAGAGTTTATGCTGAAATTTCTGAAAGGATATAATAATGGTTGAAGAACTATTATTATAAACAGTTATTAATGACAACATATTAGTTAATTAGTTCTCACATTTTTCTGTGTCAGGTTTCTGGCATTTTTAGCAGATTTTAACACAACTGCAGTCCAGCAGAAAAGAATCTGTCTTTGTAATTGTTTATAGTGGTAATAGTACTACTGATTGTAACAATCGGTAATAATTGTTTATTACTGGTTACCTTTTAATTTCTACAATTTGATCTCCTGGTTACTATCCAAGCTCTGGAATTCTTCTGTAAATTACAAACCTGAGTAGAGATAAAACAATGCTGATACTGTCATCATCTATCCTATTCTTCTTTATGGGCCTGAACTACTCTCTTGTGTTAATGGGTAGCATTTCCTAATACTTGTAAGCCCCAGGAGGGTTTTCAGCACTATGAAGCTTTAAATTGTCAAAAGACTTGTCATCTGAGCTTCTAACTCTTACTGAGAGTCAGAAATATTCCTCTGGACTATTTTGTATTTTGGAATATGAAAATTTAGATCTGGTGATTCAGAGGCTTTGGAAAATACAATGTTGATCTGCAAATTTCAAAGTAGGATTATTTTAGGGTGATGATGAAATAATTGTTGCTATTATTCTAGATGGCTGGTTCTTGTTATTCATTGTGACAAAGCGTATAGGACTATCATCATAAAATACATTAGAGACTAATGTACTTAGTACCAGTATTAATGTACTCAGTAAAGCTAGTTTGGAAATCACTTAGAAAATCTAAATTCCATTCCTTTTAATCGCAATAAAATGTGCAATAATAATTAGGCTGCTATTTTTATTAGGATTGATCCACATTTTATACCAAATGTAAAACTCAGGGATATTAGTTGCTAACATACTCATTAGATAGTAATGATTTTAGTTTATAGTTGCTTCTAAAGATTGTGCAATCTTATTGCTCATCTAAGTTAATAGTCTACTGTTAGAATTCAGAGCTAACACAAACTGAAACAGATTATATAATTGTGAATTGAATAGAATGTACAGACCAGATTCATTGTAAGAAAAGAATGGGCAAAATCAGACAATCACAACACAGAATAAACCTTTCTTCAAACAGTAATTAAATTAAAGCATTTTACATATACACACTCAAATAGGAGGCTTAGGGCAAAACTACATGATAATTAAAACATATTTTGTGCTACCTATTTCTTTTCTTTTCCTGGTTGTAATGCATGATGGTGATGGGAGAGGAGGGGAATAAAGCTTTTATTTGAATCAGGACTATTGGTATGAGAAGAAAGCTTGATCTTTTTCCAAAGTAACATCGTTTACAAGAAGGCTCTTCTTGATATGAAGTTATTTTTAAAATAAATCTTTATTTTTTTTAAAAAAAATATACAAATACATCTGCATGTGTCTTTTTCTAACAAAAATCCTGAGTGGATAAGATGGAGAAATAGCCTTTTGTTCTTTTGTATATGGTGCTTCCAGCCCAGAATGAGCTATCATCTATTTCCACTAGAGCATATAGAAAATGCAGATAAAGCTACAAAGATTCTAATTTTTATAGCCACTTAACTGATCAGTTTATAAATCTTAATGCTTGAGTAATCTGAAAGAAAGATAAACTCAAAGTGTTACTTTGATACAAATTGAATGGTAGTTATATCCAGAGCATTAAACATTTGTCTTTTGGGAGTGCTTTCAAGAATTGGATAATCGGGAATTTTCAATGCTTAGGTTTGGATGTTACCATGTATGTTAAACAGCAATGAAACGTTAAAAATTTTGATTGATACAAGTTTTATTTTTTCTCTCCAAGTTCTTTTTAAAAATGGGTGCTTTTTAAGAATGGAGAATGAATCTCATAGTTGTTTTTGCATCATACTTTCTTTTTGGATCATAATTTCAATATAAAACCAGTGCTGGCTTCATTAAATATCAGCAGAATCGTATTTAAATGTGAACAGTCAAAGGTGAAATTGCTTGATGCATCCTTTGACAGGAAAAATCCAAAGAAGCCTATAGCACCAACCAGCAGGCAAAGTTTATGCTGCTTCATTGATCAGCAGAGTGGCAGGTAAGTTGTGGGGATCAGCGCCTGATTTTCTGCATTTATTAGGAGCTTACTTCCAAAGGTTAACGGATAAGATTGCAACATTAAGGACCTTCAAGAAATTGACACATATATATAAAAGGAAAGGCTTCACAAAGCTGTACTTTGTGTGTAGTCTTGGAGACTAGCATTTTGTGGAAATCAATATTAAATAAATTAATGAATAGACTAGCAGAAACATGGATTGGAAGGAACAAGGCTACAATCTACTAGTGCCTTGCCTTATTAAACAGAGTATAAATGTGTTGAGGAAGTTTACAAAGGTGCTCTGCCTTGATCTGAGAATTAAATAGAAAGTAAATGAAAACAACAGATGCTGTATGTTTTCTCAAGCCTAGGCATATCAAGATGTTGACTAATTTTAATTGTCCCACTACCATTATCTATAGATCTTCCAGGGAGCTCTTAATTCCAGACTGAATTCAAATCTCAGTAACTCTATTTATCACCATGGCTACATTTGACTTACACAGATAGAAGCCCTTTATGGGACAAAATGCAAACATATCAGGAGGTTTTTTTCAGCTATACTTAACAATAATTTCTGCAATTAAAGAGAGTTCTGAAAGCATTTCTAAATGGAAGCCCTGGAAATGTCCTGTTGTGAGCAAACACACTGAATTGGAAGATATAAGATATTTTGATATAAGATATTTTGATAGAAGATATAAGATATAAGATATAATTGGAAAATATAAGATATTTCCTAGCCGTACCACAGATAACAACAATGATCTAATACATATCGATTTCACAGAAGACAATGTTGAAAAAGCAATACGCAACCTAAAACCATCTCTATCTATTGGACCGGATGGAATATGTGCCTACTTCTTAAGAAAGCTATCCACTGCCATAGCCAAACCTCTAAGCATAATCTTTGAAAAATCTTTCAGAACCAGCTCCTTGCCTAACCTATGGTCACAAGCCACAGTCATCCCCATCTTCAAAAAGGGAGACCCAAGCCTAGTTGAAAATTACAGGCCAATCTCCTTATGCTGCGTCACCTGTAAAGTCATGGAATCAATTATTAACCAATCCATCATCCTTCACTTAGAGACAAATAACCTACTCTCCAATAAACAATTTGGTTTCAGGAAAAAACTATCCTGTAATCTGCAACTCTTACACTGCAAAAACATATGGACGACACAACTCGACCAGGGCAAAACAATAGACGCAATCTACATAGACTTCTGTAAAGCCTTTGATTCAGTGGTACACGACAAACTACTCCTAAAAATAAAATCCTATGGTATCTCTGGACAACTGAATAACTGGATAGAAGCATTCCTGTCAAACAGACAACAAATGGTCAAAATCGGGAGCGTCCTATCAAATCCAGTACCTGTCAATAGTGGTGTCCCCCAGGGCAGTGTTCTAGGACCAACTCTCTTCATACTCTACATAAACGACCTCTGTGATCATATTAAGAGCAATTGCGTTCTCTTCGCTGATGATGTAAAGCTGTTCAATACCACAGACAATACTGCTACCCTACAAAAAGATCTTGACTATGTATCCGAATGGTCAAACAAATGGCAACTTCAAATCTCAACAAATAAATGCTCTGTCTTACATATTGGCAAAAAAAATCAGAAAATAAAATACAAGCTGAATAGTCAAGATCTTGTTGATGACCCAAGCTCTGTAAAGGACCTTGGAATACTCACCTCTAATGATCTAAGTGCTAGAGCACACTGCAACTACATAGCCAAAAAGGCATTAAGAGTTGTTAACCTAATCCTACGTAGCTTTTTCTCTGGTAATATCACACTACTAACCAGAGCATACAAAACATTTGCTAGACCAATACTCGAATACAGTTCATCAGTCTGGAACCCACACTACGTATCTGATATTAGCACAATTGAGAAAGTCCAGAAATATTTCACAAGAAGAGTTCTCCACTCCTCTACTCGCTGTAGAATACCTTATGCCACCAGACTTGAAATTCTAGAACTAGAAAACCTTGAATTACGCCGTCTTCGGTCTGACTTAAGCATGGTATACAAAATCATACATTGCAATGTCCTACCTGTCAATGAATACTTCAGCTTCAACCATAACAACACAAGAGCACACAATAGATACAAACTCAAAGTAAACCGCACCAAACTTGATTGCAGGAAATACGACTTCAGCAATAGAGTGGTCAATGTCTGGAATACTCTACCCGACTCTGTAGTTTCTTCCCCAAACCCCAAAAACTTTAACCTTAGACTGTCTACTATTGACCTCACCCCTTTCCTAAGAGGTCTGTAGGGGGCGTACATAAGCGCACCAACGTGCCTACCGTCCCTGTCCTATTGTTTCTCTTATTCTTTTATTTTTCTTATATGTAACCATTTCATGTATTCACAACTATGTATACATTTATACTTATTATCTTGTAAACAATTGGCAAATCAAATAAATAAATAAATAAATAAATAAATAAATAAATAAAGATCGGTGCAAAGCCCAACATTGCTCACAGGCTGAAGCACCATCACTCTTCCTTCACTTTCTTCTTTTTCAGGAATAGCAAAAGTGTTTATACACATGACTGCATTTGCCAATGGCCAAATGGAATCTTTTGTTAAAAAGAGGGACATTTTGAACAGAGGGAATCATTATTGCACAGGGGAAAAAAGTGGAAGAAAAAAATACATTTTTGTGGCAAGTAGTTAAGGCTTTCATTTCCCACTGAAATAGTATTTGCCACCTATAATGAAAAATTGTGGAGTTACACAATTTTTGAGTGCCCCAGAATCAAACATCAAAGATTAATTCAAGCATGGTTTAAAAAAAAAATGGACTCAGCTGCTAAAGAATGACATTTTCAGTCTATAAAACCTTTAAAACCCAATATGTTTGAAACTGTGCTT